GGATGCTCCATCCCCTCCTTAAGCCACAGCTCTTGCCCTTTTTGCTTGCAGTCATGGGGTGTGTAAACACGGTACGATGCAGTGCGGTGCGGTTACAAGATCAACCTCTAAATGACCTTCTTTGCCTGGATGATCCACCAAAATCATGTCCCTGAAGCAGTATAGTCGTGTTCTTCCAGCCCAGTCCCGGCTGGCATCCATCCTGGCTGCTGAAAGCAGAACTTCACCACCAAGAGCACCCACCTGGAAGCTCCCAGGACCTGACTTTGTATTGCTCTGCTGTGCCGTGGAGATAAAACACCTTGTTCAAAGTTAACACCTGGGTTTCCGCTTTCCTTTTTTTGACTTGATATGTAATATATGCCCTCTGTTCCCATTGCTTCTCTAGCCATTTTTAGAAGAGCAAAAATTTTAGTATTCTTAAATGCTCAAGCACAACTTAAAGGTATCACTGGGAAAATTGCAGTTACCCTAAGGGAAGGAAGAGACAAAGCAAGGCTATTGCTAGTGTTTGGAAAATACAGCATGCATTTAAATGTCTTGTGGGTTCCTCTGTCTCGAAGGGTCAGTAATTTTATTAAGTCTAGTCACAATAACCAAATAACAGACTTCTGGGGGGTAGCAGACATCCAGAGAAATTGAGAAACTCTGATTTCTGCAATGAGGAAAGATTTCCTTGTAGAGCCTTGTAGAAACTTTTATTTATAAAATAATTATATCGTTAGAAATTTTTCCTTATAATGATACTGTTAGCTTTACAACGCAGTTGTAGCCTTGAGTCACTAATGCATTTTGAAAATTTATGTGGTTAATTGTTCAGCCACTCTCACCAAAAGAAACAAAATCGAAAAAAGGAAATCAGCAAACTTGTGCAAAACCATGTTCCAAGTTAAAAAAAAAAAAAGTACTTAACTGAAAATAATCAGGTGTCTGGGACAGCTTGCAGGAGTGTCTCTCTCCTAACAGATCCATTTGTTTTTCTTATCCTTCAGTGTTGTTGCAATGATTTATTTTGCAATCATTTTTTCTTTCTTTATGCCTCCTTAATAGAGAGCCTTGTTCCATTCTTTATGTGTTCTTGAGGAAAAAGATGATGCAGTTCCATGTTAAGCTTGTTTAGATCAGCAAATAGTCCATTAGAATTGCCATAAAGCAAAAGCTACAATATATTTACAGGTATGTACATACCTACATGCCTATGTATATTCATTCCCCTCTAAGTAGGATTAATGTTTCTGGGTTTTTTATATTTCTATAAGCTAAGGGAGATTAACACACACTTATAGAAAATATCAAGATAAATTATTAAGTGACATACTAACATTGTGGCTGTGCTTTTTAGATCCAGTGAGAAAATAAGCATTCCTTTCTTGATAGTCCTACATTTATCAGGTTTCACAACATCACAACCCTTTTCTTGCGGCTCGCTTTGCTGAAATTCTTCTAGTGCTCTGTATCTTGTAGGAAACCATTTGACTCTACAGAAAGTCTCTCTCCTAATTTGTTGTAGCAAAATTCTACCTTAATGTGCTGCAACAGCAGGCAGACTGGCCAGCTCTGTTATGTTATTTTCATCTGCTTTATAATTCATACCATGAGACTGCTGCGTTCTCAAATGTGACCCCAGGGACTCCAGTCGCAATATCCTCACATCTTTGGCAACATCTCTCTGCTCCCCCTTGGAATATTCTAAGGCTACAAATGGTATCACGTATCTGTGCCTACTAGATACATAAAAATCAATGGTATTTAGCTTTGTTCCAATTTAGATAACGAAATCCTCTTTTCCCAAGGCATGAAGACTTCGCAGCCTTTCCCTGTGCCTGGGACACGAGTTAGCAGCTGGAATGCTGGAGTCAGCGTTTCATTCCATGAGAGTGAATAGCATCAGGCCTCCAGAGATTTCTTAACTGACCTTCAAAACACAACGTCTAGCTTCCAGCAAACTTAAAGTAAACATATTTCTCTAGGGATTAGGATCAAAGCACAAGAAAAACATTCTACTTAACTGCGTGGTGCTTGTACTGTTACTTATTTATTGGAGCAAGGGTAAGTGGTGCTGGGAGAGAGGAGATTCACTTTTTTTGTTGCATTGTCTGACGGTAAAAGTGGCTCACAAAGGTTACCCAGGAGATTTGTAAAATCATCATTCTTTTTTCATACCATCACTGCTTCACTCCCAAATATGGTTTTATATTGTCGTGGTCAAACCCTTGAAGATTTTTTCTGAAACAAAGCCTTGGTGGCCTGGTGAGCACTTTACTAGAGGAGAAGCTCAAGGACACCCCCAGGCTTTGACTCTGGGCTTGGGTGTACTCTTCTAACATTCTCAAGCAGCCACAATCACCTGTAAAACAGGAGAAATGGCACTTTGTTTCCATATCCATATAGTTTTTAGGAGGATGACTACATTATAAATTTAGATGTTCTGGAGTATTACAATAGCAGGTCTTGTGTGTGTACATAAGCCAGGCTTCCTGGAAGAGATTGGCTTCCCGGCAAGACCAAAAAAATCAAGAAAACCATTTTTTGAAGAAAATTGTTGGCTATGCAGTGTTTTCTGTAGTTTAAAAACCTGTCACTGGTCATTAGAATGAAAAAAGGAGAGATGTATCTGCAGATACCTGAAGTTATTAGTTGGTGAGCTTTGTACAACAAAAAGCACAGGAAGTAACAGATAACCTCTTCATGCATTCCCTGTTGGGATCATCCTGTTGCCACTTTTAGGCTGAGATGAAACTGCATTAGGAAGCCGGGTCCTGATTCAGCAGGAGGCAATCAGAAAGGTGGTCTGCTGGGGGTTATCCTCAGAGGCACTTCATAACTCTAACTCCCACCCAAAAAAAGGAAGGAAAATTCCTCTAAAACCTTGAATACGGAGCCCAGTTAACCACAAACATTCCTTGATTGTCTCCCCAGCCACCAATTTATCCTGCTTCCCCAATATAGAAAATGAGCTTAACGTCGATTTTGGCGATGACTGCATAGTGATCGTGCACTGAATTACTGTGGGGTGTCTGGTTTTCATGTGTCATGTTGTGTAAATGTACAAGCTGATGGGTGTCATTTTCTCATATCTGTGGGTTCATTCATTTCACATTCAAATCTCTGTTTGATCTTAAGGACATGGAAGTCCAGATTCAAGCCCTGTTATCCTGCTATTTGAAAGATATCACGTAAAACACGTCTGTAATGTTTTTAAGCAGGCATGTTTCCCACAGATCTGAGTTATAGATTATTTAATTTCTTTACTGTCTTGGCTAATACAAAGATTTAGGACAGCCAGAAAGATAGTAAATCAATTAAACTCAAAAGAAGTTCAATTTACAGAAACAACAAGTTTTCCATAGCTTGTGCCAATTGAACAAATCCTTACTTTTGGACAGAGATAAACATTATAGCTTCTCTTCCTGCCCCCTTTTCACTGTCTTACTACTATCCCTGCAGGAACAGATTAATAAATGCCTGACCTTAAGCACTGGTGCCAGTGGAGACCTGCCGTAATTGTTCTTTCTTATAGTTCAAACAATCATTTTGAATTACATCTCACAAAGCAGAAACCCAGAAAAAGATTAAGTGCCTTTTTAAAATTGAACCATGGGTATAAGTGAGCGTATAAAATCAAGTATGAGGGAGTAACCCCAGATGGACTAGATGTAAGCTCTGTGATGGCAAGTGCTCCCTCGAATGTTGTTCTTCAAATGCTTCTCTTCCTTAGTCTCAGGCTTTGCATCTGGTTAAGATAAACTAATTTGCGCTGTTATTCAAAGTGCAAAGATTTCAGCTGCCAAAAGTCACTGATATGTAAATATTTTAGGAGACCTTCCCTGGTTGTTCTCAAATCCTCTAAAATTTATGATTGCTGGCACTGACTTCAGCGACACTCCATGAGTTTAATGAAGAGTGCAAGCCAATGAGTCCAGCAGATGTTTCTGGGTTTGCTTCACTGGGAACTTTCTGGATTTTTCTTCCTTCATTCCCAGGAATCAAGACCCAATTTTAGCAAAATGCTGATGAACTGACCAACCAGCAACAAGAAGACTGAAATAAGTCCTCGTCTCCACAATCCTTAAAACGTTCAGCATTGCAGGTCTATAAGAAGCTGAGGTTTGGATGCTTATCCAAAGCCTCTTTAGCCTGGAAAACTGAAGGATGGGAAACTCATACAATTGGCTCTCAATAGATTTGTGGTATTTCCTGCACTTGTCTGGCACAGAAATATAATCTGTCTCGGAGTATTTTGGCACTGCCAACATGGAACCTGGCAATGCAGAAATATGTAAGACAAAACCAATCTTTTCCAATAACAACAAAGGAAATTACTTTGAGTTATGATTTTGTTTGGATTTTATTTAGTTTGTTTTTCTTTATATTTTGCTTTTTTGCTATCCAGGGGTACTTGTGTCACCTTACACTCCCACCAAATGTTAGCAGCACAGCTGAGATTATGCAAAAAAAAACCCCTAGCCGTACAGCTTGGAGTCCCTTTTCTTCCTTCTGTGCAGTCAGGTAGAGGTGGGGGGTATTTTGAAAGGCAGAAAGACAGAAATGGCAAGAGAAAGCCAGGAACACACTACAAAGTGCTTGCCACTTCTCTTTGGCCTTTTACCTTGACAGCTGGTTTGATTTTTGAACTGTAGCTTCTATCTCCATTCCTTGATTTCTGGATAAATCATGCCTCACGATCCAGTACATAATGCTCACAATGGCAGTAGCTGTACACAGAGAATGTGAAGACAGCTTCATTTTCAGGTACCTGCCCTATAAGTGCTGTTAGATTAAGCTGAGGCTGCCTTCTTGCTGCCCTTGATGCAGGTAACACTATACACCCTGTATGTTGTTAAGGCTGCCTATTTATTACAGAACAGCCTGGCATTAGAAATCCAGGGCACCGCAAATGCCCAAGAAACGCCCGTCCTAACGTTCACAGGTTACATTACTTATTATTTGGGCAAGCAAATGTTTATTCTCTGAATGACATGTTTTTTCCACCTTTCCAGCTCACGGGGAGAAGCCCAGCAGAATGACAGACTGTCATTACTGCCTGCAGTCTCTTCGTGGAAGGAAGTACGCCTTAAGGGATGAAAATGCTTATTGTGTTACCTGTTACGACAGCCTGTTTGCCAACCCCTGTGAAGAGTGCAAGCAACCTATTGAGTGCGACTCCAAGGTAAAGATTTAGCTTTCACTTCTTGTTTTTTGCTAAATTAGACACAAATCCCATTTCCTTAATGGCAGGTTCTGTATCTGACCCTCTGCCTATCCCTGTGCTGGTGAACAGACCCAAGCAGAGCTGCTGTGCATCCACACACAGCAGAGAGAAACAGCACTGGTTTTGCAGAATAGAAGAGGTCCAGGGCCATAGATTAGGAAATCTGTACACGCACACACCTCTAATATACAGCAAGGCTGTGGGGTGTGTGTGGACCACAGCCAGACTCCATCCTTCACCTCCAGTCACCCACTGGCAGCAGAGACTGCACGGCCCTTGAGGGACAGTAGGGGGCTGGTGTAATTCACTGGGTCAGCTTGAATGAAACTTTGGAATTTCTGAGAGATATCCATTGAAAAAAATATTTTGAGTATTGCTTAATTACTTTTACCTTAAGTGCTGACGTGCCAGTGTCAAGCTGAAAAGAAACTACGTTTATAATTTCTATATTACTCCTTCTGTCTTTTGGAAATGAAGCACACTTTAATTTTAACTTAATTCCATGCCTACCTTGCTCATCTCACAGATGGCACGTTAGTGGCAGCATTTCTGGGCTTGGCTTTCCTTTCACCTCTCCCCTTTTTTAGAATATTAATAATATGAGTTTGTCTGTGGCATTTGATAGGGTTTATAGTACCCATACTTCAATTTACAGCCTGTGCACTTGATTTGGAATTTAAAAGTTCAGATGAAACCTGTCAAAATGCCTTTTTCCTGCCAAGTTCAGTATGTAGTGTTCACCTTCTCCCCGTGCTTGCTTTGCCTATGTTCTTTTGAAAGAAAAGGTCAGAAAGTTATTAAAATAAGCCTCTCAGGAGGTTTCACTGGCCAAAGTACTTCATGGTTTTCAAAGCACATTGTCTGAGTGCAGCTCAGTACTGTAAAGGAGTCATCCAAGGAAAATGCTGATTTGGATGAAGACTCTTCACAAGCTCTCCTCAGCATTTTTCAACAGCAAATTTGTACACGTACCTCCAGTCAGAGTCACCTGGAGCACATGTGCTCCGAGTTCACTAATTACGCTTTTAAAATTTAAAATTAAGTAAGTGCAGGACCACAGATGTCAAAGATCATCAACAAAAAATTATGTCTTTGGACTGAGTGGAAGGAAAAATTAGGAGGAAAAAAAAAAAACAGGAGTAACAAGAAAGGAGTAGAACAGGCCAGAGTCAGCTAGAAATTTGGGCCACGGAGACCTACAGCTGGCTGTCCTGCCTCTGCCACAGTGCTGGAACTTGGCTCTCCTCCTCTCCATCTCACCCAGTCTTTGCCTCGGGCTGCTCTGGGTTGACAGCCTATTTTGTGAAAGGTTGAGTGCGCTAACTAAAGCAGATGAAAGTGGTAAGTCCTCAGCACCACCTGAAATGAGGCATGGTATGTATTTCAGTTTTAGTGCTTTAAAGGGTGAGACTGTGACAAAGGAGATAAGGGAGATTGGATTTGTGTCCTTTTGTGCTTCTTACTTATAAACAAGACCTGGAAGGATCTGGTTTATTTTGGGGGACAAGGGGGAGAGGGGAGGATGTGCATTTTTGCCTTGTTTTTTTAACCTTGGAAAATTTTTATCTGCTGTTTCCTCTTTTTTTGAATTCTTAGTGGAGGTCTCATACATTTACTGTTAGCTTTTTCATCCCCTAAGCCTGCTGAGTCTTAAACAAACATTTTTCTGCCAAGTTTTTAGGAGGAGTTATATTAGGTGTAAACAAAAGCAATGATTTTTTAATAATCTTCCTAAGAATCATTTTGTTCTCAATGAGATTTTAATTGCTTGTTTTCTGCAATAATGTGATCTTTCTTTAATGTTATGTATTGTCAGCTGGAAAAAAAAGCAGCTACGTTAAAAAATAGATGAAGTTAATTTTGAACTCTGTAGAGAATGCACTTCTTGTCAGGCGGCCTGCGCGCATTAAAATGTTGATCACTTGTTTCCCCTTGAAGGCCAACTGTAAAATATAAAATGGTGCTTCCAATAAAAACATATCTCTGATGTTACATAAAGGAAGGACTATTGCCTGTGCCAAAGCAGCTCCTAATGCCTCTGCAAGAGATCTACAAAATATCCCAACACAGCGATGCTGGATGCTTTTATCACCCCTCTTTTCAAGTCACCGTTGCCATGCTGTCCATTTCTCACTTTATTTCTGGGAGGAACTGGGGGATAAAAACACTCTAAAGAAATGTCTTCATTAACGTGGACTTGCTTTCTCCAAGGATCTGTCCTACAAAGGTCGCCACTGGCATGAAGGGTGCTTCAAGTGTGCCAAGTGCAGCCGCTCGCTGGTGGAGAAACCCTTTGCTGCCAAGGACGAGCTCTTGCTGTGCACTGAGTGTTACTCCGACGAGTACTCATCTAAGTGCTTCCACTGCCAGAAGACCATTATGCCTGGTAAGACAGCAGGGACCCTTTGGTGAAAAACAGAACTGTGTTTTTAATTGTAACCCATCCTTGAGTAACTGAGCTACAAGGTCCTTGACTCCCAGAACAGCTTCCAGGTGACTCCTCCTCCTTTGTGGGTAGTACCCTTCTGGCGGTGAAGAGAAGACAGGCAGGTACCTTTGGTCTGGCACTGACAGGGCTTATGAATCCTTATAAAGAATGCTGGAGTTCAAAATAGTGTAAAACATGTTCTTGTTGAGTCCTTGCAGCTCTTAGGAAGCGTATCCTGCTGTGAGTGTAGGCAGACAGACAGAGCTGGCCTCAGCAGGAGTGACAGATTAGACAAGACGTCTGCATTTGGTCTGTCACATTGACCAGACCTCGAGTATCAGACCTGGCTCAACGTTCTTTATACCTCTTTATACTTCTTTCATTCAGAAATATTCTTCGTTTAAATTGTCAAGATACGACATTCTCTGTTCAAACCATTATCAGCATTTTTACTAAAAGCAATACAAGTGCAGATGTGTTTACAAGGGGTTTATTTCCTGCCGTTAGCAACCTGAAAATTCTGCACTTTCCACAAACTACTTCTCAGCTTTTAATCAGGTCTGCTCAGGACATCATCTGCCTCTTCAGAGGCATCTAAGAGAAGCAGCAGCACCATGTGTGGCAAAATGAAGGGGATTGCTTGGGAAAGTGGGTCGCTGACTTTTAGAACAGTGAACTACCCTCACTGCTTGAACCTTTCTACGGGTCACACGTATAACTCCAAAACCAGCTGCAAACTGTCTTCCATGGCCTGATGACTGCTAGTTTGGGAACCTTTGGCCAAGGGAATCAGTAAATTTGGCAGTGATGCTGGAATTTTATTTTTCAGTAGATCTCCCTCCCAAACAATAAGATCTGGACTGTATGAAATTAATGTTTTAGTATAAATACTCTGTCGCTAATGTCAATGTTCAACCTGTAGCATTGATGCAACTATGTACTTTTACAGTTTATTTCCTTTTCATTACAGGTAAAAGCTGTATTAGTGGACATAAATGTTGTAGCAATATAGTCATGTTCAGTTTATGGATGACATACTGCTTACATTTGGAATATTAGAAAAGAATGTTTTCTAATCACTCCTTACTAATGTGCTGACAATAGCACCAGAATATAGTGAGGTTTGCCTTGTTCTCTGGTGTATATCCATCTGGCAGATTTTGCCCCAGAGTCTAGGAGACTAAATCCTTGCAGCAGGTGCTGAGGGTAGGAATAACAGGGCGTTAAGAGAACTGAAGTGCCACAGTGATGCTGACCAGTTTCTAAACCATTAACAACTTTGTTTTCAGCTTGATAGCCCTGTATCCAAAAGACCCAGTGGGCAAAGACAGTGAAGTCAGCCTTCTGCTCACTGGGAGGAAGCTGTAAACCTTTCGTGTTGAAATGCAGCAGTTTCTCTCTCTGCTAACCCCACAGTCCAGGAAACAGCTACTGCAGGATTAATCAGTTCTAGCAGCAATTCTCAGCTTTGTGTGGAAATGATGATAAAGCTCCTGTCCCCTCTCTTTGCAGTCTGGTGGTACCAGCAGGGGAGGAGGTTATGGTGGGGAGTCACTGGAAAAATCATTCTCAGATATATGTGCATATCTCAGACTTACACATCTCCATTGAGGAGTTCAGGGTACCAGTACACAGAGCTAAGAGCTCTGGAACTCCTCTGGCAGTCAGTTGACCAAACAGCTGTCTTTTGCAATTGTATCTGTCCTTGCGCCGAATCAAAAGCAAAAGTTGAATACAATAAAAAGAACAGTTGGCCCAGGATGGAAATGATGAGCTATAAGAAGAGACAGTGTAGTGTGCTTTGTCACACAAAATATATTTACTGATAAAAAAAGCTTAAACTGAATAAGATAAATAATAAATAAGATAAATAATGCATTTATGAATGAAGGAGACTAAGGTTAAGGAGGACAAAAGACAGGCTATTAATAGATGTAGTAAACATCAAAGCAAATCCATCTTTAATTTAGAAAAGTGCTGTGTGTCTGACCATCATCAGAGTTGACTGGCCTGAGAGGAACTCTAAGCAACCAAACGTATCACAGAGAAGTAACCCTAAAAGAGTCATATGACAGACTAAAAATTATAACTTGGGCAACTTGGAGCATCTTCTGCCAGGGGATCACATGGCACTGAATGGGTTCTTGAAATTTCAAGTACGTACTTAGAAACCCTATTAAATTGAGGATAAGTGCTTTCTTAGATAATACAACACTGAGATACAACATTCAAAACAAGTCTTCACAACATTTAGAACTTCTGTTACAAGGCTGTAGCTGAGGGTGTCATTTGCTTTTGGTTTTTGCAGGTTCCCGTAAAATGGAGTTTAAGGGGAGCTCCTGGCACGAGTCCTGTTTCGTGTGCCAGCACTGCCGGCAGCCACTGGGCACTAAACCACTCATCACCAAAGGCAACGAGAATTACTGCGTGCCCTGCTTTGAGAAGCAATTTGCTCACCATTGCTACTCTTGCAAAAAGGTAACGAAATACACAATGGACACTGTTTTAAGCTGCTTTTTATGGCAGAATTTAACTTATTCTTTAGTACCTGTATCCCTCTGGAAGCAATTTTTTTTTCCACTTCATCAAATAACTTATAATTTCTAAATTTATTTACTGTTTCTCTTTAAACCTCTTCCTCTAACAAAAGCTTTTAATTTAAGAAAAATCTGCTGCCTGGTTGTTGTTTTTTCTCAGTAGTTAAACTGTAGAAAGTGCTTTTATGTATTCCTATGTGTTTGCATCTAGCCTTTAATTTGCATTAAATGATCACATGGCAAATATAGTCATTCTGCTCTATGTTTATTAGAGACATTGAGGTTAGCAGCACTTGTGTGGAATAATCAGGATTTACTTCTTAAAAAATCTAGGAATACAAATAATACTCCTGCGTAACAGCTAAAACAATTTCACTGCTTAAACTCATACCAGTTCCCATAAATAAAGATTTATTTATGGGAAAAGATTAAATTGCCAAACTGAACTCTTGAATCTTTGTGCCAGAGATTTTGAGATTTTAATGGAAAAGCGAATAAGAGTTAGAAGTAGACCAATACTGGAGTGCTAAGGGTATTGGGAACTATTTATTTTTTTTTTATTGCCTGACATCACTCAGTATTATTCTTTATGTCCCTGAAACTGTATTCCCCAGGGAAATCTGATGGTGCCACTATTTTTACTTAATTAAGGTTCTCCAACTTTTTCTCCCTGTGTCCCAACTATAATCATTCATTCATTCACTGTTGTGCATAAGACTTGACAGTAGAAATGCTATCTCACAGCTCATCTTTATCTCTGCAGAAATTTCTCTACACAGTCTCTCAAATTCCATGAAACCAGCTCTTTATCACACATATGGAAGCTATAGAGCAACTGGAAAGTTCCCTCTTCAGAAATAACCAGTAGAGAGCTGTGAGTGAATTGCAGGGAATGAGAAGTTTGATGACACTGATAAATACCATTTTATTTCTTCTTTTGGCAGTGTAGATCTCATTTCTGTCCCTCTTCTGCTTCTTTACTGTCCCTTTCTTCCTACTTAAAATTCTGTTTCAGGTGTGAGACAGAAAAATGCCTGTTCCACTTGGAGATTAGCCATAATCCCAGCCTTGGTTCTCTTCTTCACAGTCCATCACTGAGAATTTCTCTTCTGAGAGCATGTCTGATGCTAAGCCTTTATTCACATGTATAACAGAAAAAAATGGTAACAAACCAGCCTGTTTATTGCAAACCATGGGGTGACCCACGATAGAAAACAGAGAATAACAAACCGGTGGCGTGTTTAGCTCAACTGCAGTCAGTCAAGTTGATATTCCAGATGAAAAACTGTTGTTGTGACCACACTCTCTTCTCTTGTGCATGTGGGAAGAGCAAAAACAAGCAGAGGGATTTATGAAGGACTGGATAATCCTTCAAGATTCACTCCTTTGTTTGACTGCTCTGTCCTTTTTGTCCATACATTAGGTGATAACTTCTGGGGGAGTGACCTACGACGACCAGCCTTGGCATAAAGAGTGCTTTGTGTGTGCTGGGTGTAAAACCCAGCTGTCTGGACAAAGGTTTATTTCTAAAGATGACTATCCCTACTGTGTAGACTGTTTCAGCAGATTGTATGCTAAGAAGTGTGCTTCCTGCAAGAAACCTATTACAGGTGAGTCTCATCTTCTAGAAGGGTCTAAACACTGATGAGCCATGAATCTTCTCTCAAATCAGACCTTTAGTTTAGAAAGCAGCATTAAAAAGAGTCCCATCATAAAAAAAATGTGGGAGTTAATTACTAGAGAGTCCCTCTCTCCATCATATGTAACATGTCTTGCTAGGACATACTGATCACACATGTTCTGTGACCACTGAAGAGCTGTTTTATTTGCCAAAAGGAGTTCCTCCATTGTTTGATTTAGTGCTTTCTGCACTAAAATTCATCCCTAAGAATACATGAAAAGGTACTTTTTGGCTCTTCCCAGAACAGTACACAGAAGTCCCTCGTGTGTAATTTCATCGGCTCTGTTTTTAAGTGAAAATATGATTAAATTGGACATGAATTAACTGCCTGCTGGTGAGGCACACCTGTCAAATTAGAAAGCCTGCCAAATGCAACAAAGCTCTATTGCATGCACCCTTGTGTACTGGGCTGATTTAGAATTAGACATACAGGGCAGAAGTCTGAAGTTTTGTGAGAGCACTTGTTGGTGTTCTGCATTGTAATTCTAGTACACGTGGGCTCAGCTGTTGAAGAGCACTGATTGCTAGAGGTGCATGCTGCATAGGTAAGTGGATAAATAAAATGATGAATACCCAATCAAATCGGCATAATTTTAGGAGGGAAAAAAAAAAAAGAAACAACCAAAACACCATCACAACTAAAATCAAGCAAACAAAAAACCCACTGATGTTTTAGTTCAGGTACTCATGCTAGGAATTCCATGATCTGATGGTTTTCAAAAGACTCCATCTTGAAGAAACTCAGGTGGAAATAATTAGCTTTCACTCAGTGTTGTATAGAAACTATATGCATCAACACATTGCAAATACTTTTTATGAGAATTTGTTGGGAAGATCAGCAAACCTGAATGGACATTCTGATAAACTTATGCTATTCAGAGCTCATAATGGGGTATAAAACCAAGCAGGTGACTTGGGGCTTTGCTTAAGATATTTCCTACTGTATGTAATTTTAAAGTTTTTTTTCAATTCAGCCAAGAAACAATATTTCGGACTGCATATTTTTGTTCATTTGTTTGTTTGCTATATGCATGACAGCCCGGTCGCACATCAGAAAACAATCTGTTGCATTTTTGTAGAGTAGGGTAGATGGTTGGACTCGATGATCCCAAGGGTCTCTTCCAACCTCAATGATTCTATGATTCTATGATTTCTGAACTGTTACCGTAAATCCGGGTCTCACATCTTCTTCCTCGAAATCTCTTTCAGCTCTCGGAGGTCCCAAATTTGTCTCGTTTGAAGAGCGCCAGTGGCACGGGGAGTGCTTTAACTGTGCCAGATGCTCCGTCTCACTGGTGGGCCAAGGGTTCCTCACCCGGCAGGATGATGTCCTTTGTCACAAATGTGGCTCTGCTGCTTAGTTCTGTGGAGACCTGCATGACCCTCACTTTGTAACCATGTACTTCATTACTCTGCAGTAAGAAAATCATCTAAAAAGTAGAACAGTTATTTAGCCATTCAAGTAACTTTCCAACAGCAGTTCAATTCTATCATAGTTCTCAATTCCTTGTGGAAAAAATTTAAACAGCCCCTTACTGGCTAAGAAAATAAGGCAGAAAAGATTCGTGTATTTTTGAAACCTAACTACAGTATGTTTCTCCTTGTAACACACTGCACTCTGCTGTTAGAAGCTTAAAAATTTAGATCTCATCTCCCACGAGCCAAGGAGGACTGTGAAAAGTCTCTAGGGCATATGAGTAATGAGGAGGCATTAGCACTGCTTCACAGATGCAGACCACAGGGTGGAAAGCTGGGCACGTGCGTTTTTCTATTCGTTTTCATAACTTTGAAGAGAACAACTTGTAAATAGCAACTTCCTCCATACTTCAGGAAAAAAAAGCTGCTGACAAAGCAGGCAGAAAGTGGGAGGAGGAGGTACTTCTATACAGAGACCCATTCCAGGGTCAGATAAAGGGGGAGGAGGTAATTTTCCTCTCCTTCCTCAAATTGCTCCTCAGAAACATAGTCTTTAATCACCAAGAAACTGAGTGACGGGTCCTCTCCCAAAATTGGCTAACTATACTTACTTTTTCAGGCATAACTGCTTTAGAACATAAATAAACCCATATTTTGAGCTACTGTAAGAGGTATGGATTGCCCAAGCTTGGCTAGTGCTTTCCAATAGCTAGTATACCTTAAGACCCTATCTCCATTGTCTTCACTAGACCTTCAAATACATGCATAAAATATATATTTCTTTTAGTAGTAGAGACAAGAGCCAACTCACACTTGTCCCTTTAACCTTGTACTTTCCTCCCCTCGGAGCCCATTTGCCAGTAATCAAAACACCGTTAACGGCCTTACCGTTTCCACCCTGCTGGGTCTGTGATCCACAGGCTGCCCCTTTTCCTTGTAAAGGCCTGTGTATCTATAGCAGGCTATAAGCTCTTCAGCACCAACCCGTGATTCGTTTTGCCACGTGCCACACGCATTTGCCAATATTCTGTCAAGAATCGTAATGTCGTCACGGCGAGCTCCGCAATCCTCGCTTGTAGAACAAGGTATTTGTTTCTAGCAGCTGGCTTTGAGAAGGTTGTATCTGCTTGCGGAGCTTCAGCGCTCAAGCTTCTATTATTAAAGGTCACCTAGAGCTGACTTACAAGTGTTTCTCTTCGTATTTCCTCCACGCTGCAAGTTACAGAGGCTGGATTGGCGTTATGGTGCCTTTAGTCCCACCTCACACCTCTTTAAGTTGTACGTTCTCCTTTAGAGTGACCTTAAGCACATAGAGTTGTTGGGCTGACTTGAGCGGGCTCTATTCATACTGAAGCCAACCATCACATGAGGTAGAAAAAAAGAAGAGCAAAAAAAAAAAAGATAAGAAAAAAAAAAGAATACGTGTGCATAGCTAAGCCAGAGCTGAACCGCAGCGGCATAAAATCAATATGGATAATGACTGACCAACAAATACATAGTGGTCTGTTTTCTAGTCAATAAAATATTGATCTTTTGCTCTACGTTGTGTTCATTTTTGGTTTTCAGTTTCTTTTTTCATGGCAGCTTTTATTGCAGTCTGGAGTTTGATTAGTTTATGCCTTTTCATTTTATCCCAGCTGGCTCCTTTTCTATTTTCACATTTCACGTGGCTGATACAGGCTCTTGGTAAGACTTGGATTCCCATAAATAGAAATATGTTTCATTGCCTTAACTGCAGATCTATATACACACGCATATAGCGGTTCACAGTTAGGTACGATGCTCTAAAAATGTATACCAAGTTATCAGAAATTAGCCCATTAGTAAATGTTAATTGACTGAAATTTTTAAATGAAAATGGTGACTCACCAGGTTGTCTGTGGGGTGTACCTTTTGTTTCTGGTGTGTGAAATAACATCCAGCAAATTGCAAGAATGTGGTTCGGGCCCTTTATTCAGTGTTGTCTGAACAATCTTCCAGCTCAGTTACAAACTGACGTGAGAATTGCCAGGCAGAGTCCTAAGACAGGACAGAGTCACAGGTCAGACACGCTGATCATGGTGATCACAATCTTCAAGCCTTAACATTTAGGAAAACGAAATTCTTCTCTGACTCATCAACTAATTATATTTTTAGAAATACCGGCTGAATTATTTATTTCTCCTCCAGTAAATACACTACAGTTAAATCTGAAACTAGGCGTTTTCACTGGAAAGTGATAAATGTGACTGCTATAAATAATTTGAATAAAAGTTATGCTAGATCTCAGATTGATATTTCCTGGTCTCAATCACCAGCTACCGATGTATAAACATAAACACAGTAATATTCTGCACAATTTGAGTCAGTTACGCTCACACAGATGAAAGTCAGCTTGAATAGGTGCAGAGAAGGGCTGCAAGAAGAAACTGTGTGTCTCTGAGAAGGGCTGTAAATCATGGAGGGCATTAGATGGCTGCTAGAGACCAAGGGACTGCACGTGGTTCAAGGCTCCTCAGGGCTGTAAATCGGGAATGAGAAGGCTGCTGCTGCTGCTGTGCAGAGATGCTCCAGGGGAGCCTTTTTCCTGAACCAGGAGGGGAACAGCTGCGTGGTCAGTTTTAAACTGATGCTTGACCCATGGTTTAAATGGCGTACGTAACGCGATCGCCTGGGACAGCAAGGCACTGGGCAGAACCAGCCAGATGGTCAGCTGCACTTTCTGTTGCTCACATTTGATTTACTGCAGGATGATCAGGGTACAGGCTCCAGTGCAATTCAATTTTCCTTAATAAGCTTCAGAGGATGGAAATTTGAAAGATTTATTTTTAAGTCAATCTTTTTTAACGTCGTGTGCTTTTCTTTAACATTATACTGCTTTATTTTAAAATACATCTAGTCCTTCCCTCTGTATTAGCTTCTCGGCTCTAAGGTAATCACATTGCTTTTGTTATGGTCAAGCTCAATTATCCTGCGGTGCAGTGATGTCTCTGATGCCCTGATCTCATCTCCACTCTACTCATAGTTATCCCAGGGGACGGGGAGGGAGGCTGCCATTTGGGAATAACTTTGGAAGAGGGAAGTAGGTGCTCTATTACCTCGCTCAGTGCTTAAGGCTTACTTTTAAGTTCTTCAACCACTAACTAATTGCCAGAGAACTCCCAGAGGCTTAAAATACAAAGAGAAGCCCTGCAGTATTGGCACCAAGTGATGCTTCTTTACTCATACTTCACATTTTTTCACTCTGAGATGAGTTCATATAGTGAGAGCAAGATAACAGCCTTTTCCTGGACTACTACATTTAAAATCCAGGCATGTTTTCAGTTGATGTCGTAGTAGACAACACCCAGCAGCAGGATCTCAGAAAGCCAGGATCACATCCCAGCATTTCACAGGTGGACACATATGCTCCAGGCTTACAACTTAGGTCTAGGATGGAACTCACGACATCCTCCATTCTTTCTCCTTGTTCCCTGTCTTTCTGGAAAGAAAAACCACGAGCCTAGGCTGGGGAAGAGCTAGGGCATAGTACAGCCATACCTGTGCAGTGGGTGTCACCTCGTAGTGAAGTTCCTCTGCAGTAACTCAGCACATGCAGCTTCAACCGGCTCCTGTACTGCGCTGGTGGGTACCATCCCATGGTTTCCTCATGGTAAGAGAGGCTCAGTGTAACCACAGGAGCACTAGGAAGGAAGGGGTAAGGTTTTTCAAGCCCTTCTGAGTCTGTGCTTTCAAACAATTCCCAGGCCCCATCACGTGTGGGGAGGTACCTGTTTATACCCCACTGAGTTGACCTGTGGTTTCAGCACCCGGTCAAAGTTTTTATGAATATCACTTAATAGAACGGATGCAGAGCAGTGTATTGTATTTTAGGGTGACAAGTGAAAAGACAGTGACATTTATACAATGACAAGTATCAATTGCTGAAGGAAAATAATGTTAAACGACTGCCTTAGTGGAAGCTGGGAGATCATTTCTGTAAACAAAAAAGTTGGATGGGATTCAAGCCTATAGCCAGAACAAACTTGTTTACCAATCAAGCAGGAAAATGCTGTAATAAATTCTCTACATTCTTGTTAGTAATATCTCAGAGAAAACGTGTGTGTGTGCATGTATGCTTGTTCACCCTCAAATTGCCAAAATTTGAATGGACTGGGTCATAGGAACCCTGGCAACTTAAACCAAAGTACAGAACACCTAGCATGGTTAAAGACTGCTCTTTCCAAAGGGAAGTTTCAGTTCATCATCTTCAGAAGTACCAGTTACAAGTACTTTGATACGAAAAGAGGGTGATAAGACCTTTGGAGGACAGATATAGCTGCAGTTTTTGTAACACAGGGATGTTATCCAATTGGCAAAACACAGCTGTAGTGGAGGGTTTAGAGATACCAGATTTGGCCTGAATCAGAAAGCTTTTCTCAGCTTACTAGAGAGAACATTTGTCCACTGGTGTCCATTTAAACATTTCCATAGACTTTCATTCTGCATTTTTCACCCAAGTCCTTACCGGAGCTTCTTGAAGATGAGGCCAGATAGAGAGATAGAGGTGAGACATCTCTACAGCAGTCACACAGACATCCACAATGGCTAGCAAATACAGCACATAAGAATCCAAATTTGCTCATTGTAAACTAATTCAATGTCAGAAAAACAACCATTGCACAGCGTTACATCCAAGCTAATAAACCCTACAACGGTCTTAGATATAATCCAATATATTTTTTTTATCAGCTTGTGCCTCCGCTGTATGTCTTTTACTGTCATCTCCAGCAGGTTATTCAAGACTGTAGATGTTCACCTGATTCACTGCAGATTTATTTTAGCACTAACTGAAGTAATAAGCTGCCGCATACAAGAGACTGCACTAGCACCACATCTCAAAAAAAGGGAGCCGCAAGTCCCTTTCATGCGGAGTCTGTGTGAGGCTTTGGGAACAAATCACATTAAAACAACAAAGAAAGGCTCAGCTCCTGCCTGAAGCCTGGGCACAGACGTGAAGGTGACCACCAAAACACTCTGACAAGGTCACTGACAGAGCCACGCCTCAGACATCCCTCAGTTTGAGGAACTACATCAAGCAGAAAACTACCTAGCAAAACCAAGAAACAATTGAGCAAGTTGATTATTTATTTTTTTTTAATTCCTACAAAATCCTTATTGTAATCTTAACTCACTGGAAAGTAAACCCACCCTGATTGACCTTCTTTTTGTGAGAGAGGGGGGTAATGTCTGTTATCATTTACTGAGACTTTCAATTTAAGATGTGTTTCCATTTGCCTGTAAAACATTATCAAAGTTAAATGCTTTGAGCCAAGCTCTGTGTCAAACTTTCTCAGGCCAGTTCCCACTTTCCTCTTCCCCTTTTTCCTTTTCATCCCCAGAAGATTTCAATCAAACCAATTTAACATTTCAGAAAACAAAACGCAAGAAAAAATATAATGTTTGACTTATACTGAATGACCCTGAACCTTTTCTTTGGGGAGATCAAGTGCTTCACTTGATTTTGGCTCAGGAATATCATTGACAACAAAAAGGAACAATTTCTCTCATGGAGAAATCCCCATCCATCTCCTGCCATCCCCACAAAAATCCACTTGTCCCAGTTACATCTCTTCTGCATTAAGGAATTGCAGACACATGTCCCACAAGGCAAATGTGTGGTCCAGATCCTACATGTTTGGTGACAACCGCTTGTAAGCATTTTAGGTTGGGTAGATGTTTCAGTTGCTCAGCTGTAAAATGGAGATAACTCACCGTCTTGGAGAAATCAAATTAGACAATTGTAAAAATTGACCCAGCTAAAGCACTGTCACAGCAGACTGCTGGTGACAACCTGACCAGGCCAACCTCCCAGTAAAGCTCCCAATTCTGTCTTCAGAGAAGCTTTCAGCATGGAGTAGCGTAGCGAGAAGCGCTGAGAGTCCCAAATTCAGGATGATCCCCTCTGCACAGAGGATGGAGCCTGGGTTCCCTAAAAAAATAACCATTTGGGCCAGTTTTGCCTTAGAGGCTGTGCTCTGCGGGAGGGGTGAGCGTTCTGCAGGGGCAGCTCTAATTCCTTTATTTCCTCACTGGGGTCAGGGACAAGCTCTGAAAAGTCTGATCCAAATTAGCCGGGATTAGTCACTTTTTCTTTTAATATTTTTGGCAACCCGCCAAGGCCCAGAAGGCTTTTCAAAAGAGGGCTTTAGTGGGATTTGTGCTCTCTGCCCCGTGCCGAGGAGGCAGCGAAGGGCCACAGCACTCAAGTGGGAATGTCCAGCATGGTGGCCACCCAGCCCACGGTCACTCCGATGCCAACCTGCCACTGACAGCAAAACCTCATAAACCCTTACAGTTACAGACATGAAAACAAGTTTCCCTCACTTCTGAGACAGGGATGAACTCCACGGACTCAGGCTCACTGTACCTTTGGAGCACG